GCCCCAAAGAGTCATTTACATATTCACCTACGTATTACCATTTTAAGAGTTAGTTGGCTATAGAGGTGTTTGTGAAAATAGGGATTCTCAAAATTCTAGGCACATTTGTTATTAATGCCAAGCATCTATTGTATCTGGAAAATATGGTAATAAGTAATCGAGTAGGTGGTTGGCATCAAAGATATTCAAGACAATGTGGGTGTTTGGGTTACAAACATAAGTTTAGTAGTAGAATGTCAGTTCTCAGTAAAGGAGAGCCTAGAATAAGGGTGGCATTTGGATTTCTTCTCTTGTGAGAAGTCTGAATCATTGGTGGTAATTGCTTGGATCATTGAGAAGGATTCTGAGATTGCATCTGGGAGCAACAAGGAAGAGTGCTTTGCCTGTCATGGATAGATAAGAGTGGAATGATGGTATATATCTATACATTTGCAACCAAAGGGAACTTAATGCTGAACTGTAATCAACAAATCTAGGGCTCATTAAATCCCTCTTGAGACACTGATAGAAGAGTTGTAATGAGGCTAAGTCTACAAAGGTGATTTGTATACAAATGACCCAACCACATGGAAAGGTGATGCATAAGGGACAGGGACTTAAGCATGACACTATGCCCGGAAGTGTTCTTGTTGTGGTTTCTCTGTTCCTAACTTGTGTTCTGATGCAAGAAGCCTATACTGTAGCCCAGTCGGCCTTTCAGGATGGATACTTTTTCTTGCAGCTACTCATATTGATTTTCTAATCAAAAACGAGTCTTCCCCTCTCACCAGATTTGAGCCTTTCCCCCATACGGAAGAGGAAAGACATTTCTCACCATAATAAATCCCCATTCTCTCTAGTCCCTTCACACCCAACACATTCAAAGGATGTGAACAAAGGATGCTTGTAACACTGCACAAGTGGTTCAGTATATTTTTATAAGTCAGCTAATTATAGTTTTGAGTGTTTACGGGTGTAATAAAAATCATTGTATGGCAGAGCTGTAAATGGCACCCGCTCTTGCAACACATCAGTGACATTCATTGTAGGAAATATAGAGGCTTTAGTGTAAATCACCTGTCTTTGTAGAATGGCACTTCTTAATCTTGCGGGGCATGAACACCTTTGAGATTCTGATAAGAGCTGTGGATCCTATCCCTTGAATAATGCACACAACAACACATACCAAAATACAGTGAATGTCACAGATTCCCCGAAGTAAAGGTTCTATGAATCCTAGATTAAATTTTGTTTGTTTGTTTGACACCCATGGCATGGATTTTCAGTAGAGGCAATACCAGCATTCTTCAGAACATGAATTCCACAAGATAATCCACTAAAGAAGAATTCTTTGGTCAAATAAGTTTGAGGAGCAAGGCATACCTGGAGATTTATAATACATAACGACACATTAGAAACCTGAAGAAGTCTTGCCAAAAAGAAACCTTTTACCTCTGTTTAGTTAGGTTTCTACATTTGACACATTAGCATCTCAAACAAGGTATTTTGGGAGATGCTGGTGGACATGGCTTGGTTTAATACCCATCCAGTGACTTATGAGTTTTGTGATTTTTGTCTAAGAACTGAACTCTGTGAACCTCAGCTTTCTTGCCTAAATGGGGACAATAATGCCAATGGCAAGTCAGTACCTTTTACAGTAAATGTTATTATTTTACCTCTATTAAAATTTTTCCCTGTTTGCAAGTTTCTTGCTTTTATGTTGGGACATCAAGTTCCTTCTTTTTGACGACTCTGTAATGATAGTTTAAGCTTGTTTTTCTGAAATATAGAGTTCATTTTGGTAACACACAATATACAAACATTTGGCTGAGGTGATTAAAATGTAATAGCTGCTTTTTACTTAATCTTTTATAGTTTAAATATACCTTCTTGGGCATGATCTCATTTTGTCTTCATACCCACACTGTGATGTAGGAGATTGAAACTGATGTTATTCCTTTTTTTCCTTTGATGAGGAAACTGAGGCTTGGAGAAATTAAGCTAGTTCAAGGCCTCAGGGTACAGGTGAACCATGAATAACATGGGTTTGAACTGTGAAGGTCCATTTATGTACAGCTTATTTTTTCAACCAAATGCAGATCCAAAATACAGTATTCAGTGTGAGAAACCTGCATGTATTAGAGTGCCAACCTTTTGTATCCACAGGTTCTGCAGAACTGACTGCAGGACTTGAGCATGTGCACGTTTTGTTATATGCCAGGGCCTTGGAACCAACCTCTGTGTATATTTAGGAACAGCTGTATGTGTTCAAGGCTAAGCCTCGAACATGATTTTCTGAGGCTCTTTCCCTTCCGGTTTCTAGGATATATATTAAAAGCAGAATTGAGAATGTCACGTGCTGGGTTGAGAGTGACACTCCAACAAACTCTCTAATGGAGGAGACTGTACCCATGAAAAATACAATAAACCATCTTGTGTGAAATATATAATTATATATTTTAAATGATGTATATAAATATATGCATATTTCCACCATACAAAATAAAATATACCATGCAATACATTATGTATTTTTCACTAAGTTGCTTTGGCAAGCACCAAAATTTATTTGGGTTCCTTGAGAACACAGAGTCTGGGAGCAGGGGTTACTTGGGAGCAGAGAGAATCCCATTGCAGTTTCAAAATTCCATGCTAAACCTGTTCCTGGGGGCACCAGGAGCTTGTTTGTGGAATAAAACTACAACTACAAAGCATTTATTCAGTGTTCAATTTCACAGTAACCGTGACCATCATTGTGAAGGTTGCTTCTGCCAATGACTTCAGCCCTGTATTTAAAGCTGCACACTATTCATTCTCTGTTCCGGAAACGTCAGGAGGTAAGAGATTCCCGAAGTCTATGGTGTTGAAGCGTGCAGAAGGAAACATCTACCACATTTCAAATGAGTGACCAGTGGAAAAAAGCATGTACATTTACAAAATGCAAGCAAATAAGAGAGCATTATGGGAACCCAGACACTCAAGAACAAGGCACTTTTCGCTGGTAACACCTTCAGTGTATCATCTTGATGGCTCCCCGAAGACTTCCTTAAAATTTGATGATGTAGGATTTTTGTAATAAAAAAAATTACACGATATTAATTTTATTCAATTTATCTTCCCCCTTGCCTCTTAATTAGATCTAAATTCAAAGAAGGTAGAAACCATGTGGTCATTGTCCACGCAATTCAATCCTGTGAAAGTCTGGGGTGATGATTTTAGGTCCAGAGTCAAGATCTTGGTCTGAGTTCTATTTCAGCCATGAATTACATATTAAGTAGGACACATTTGTTAGTATAGATCAAGGAACTTTAAATTTAGAAGAGATAGCAGAGGTCCTATTTGTATCTTCTGTCATCTAAGAGAGGAACACATCCTTTCCTCAGCATCTCTTTCAGGTTTGACTTGACTACTTCAAGGGATGGATGGAGCCAGTTGTGTGCTAGAGTTGAATAATACTGGCTTGCAAGAGCTAGTTGTTAAATTTGCAGGAATTTGATAACCTGATTATTAATAATAGTCATTATTGAGAATAAATTAATAAACTTAGTTACAAAAATTATGTTAAAAGTTAGTAAATACTAAAAACTCAGTACTTCTTAATTATGTTACTACATTTTGCTATTATCTTTGCCTTGAGGTTATGTACATCTATTGGGACTGAATGGTGAAATTCCATAAATAGAATGGCAAAATTCCATAGATAGAATGGCATGCTACCGCATTTCTCTTTCCAAGTTAGCGACAATTATTGATAATTTAAAATTGAAAATGGTAAGAGCATTTACACCATAGAAATCAACAAACATTACATATTAGAACTTGATTCATTTTTTAAAATTATCTTGTCTTAAGAAATTGATAGAGAAAATGTTAATAATACAGATTAAATGTAAAAGTCTGTTGTATCTGAGGTTACTGTTGTGAGTAGCACAAAAATTGTGGGAATAGTCTTCTAGCAATCAAACACTGTTTTCCAATTCAGCAAACAAGCCATTCCCATCATTGATAAACTAGTGAAGTTCCGACATGGTTTCACTTTCACCTTACTCTTTAACACAAAGGAAAATGCAACTAACATTCATGTTGGCGCTACTCATTTGTCATTTGCAATCACAGTGTGGCAATGGACAGAACAGTTTGTTAAAAATCAGTAAAAGCATTCTGTGAAAAGCAATTGTCTATATGGAAATTTACAATAAAGAGTATTTTCATCTCATTATTAACTGTAAATTTTATGCTCCCTATCTTTTATATCAGTAAAATTTGTAACAAACGTATATTTATGTGAATATGTGTGTGCACGCACACACACACACACACACACACCAATTTTTTTCGGAGAGTTGGTTGTTAAACATTTGCCAGCATATCACTGGGTGGAACCCACACTACTTCAAATCAGCTTATTTCCTTGCCAGAAAACTATAAATGTTGAGGAGAGACTAGGAAATCAAACGTTAGGCAAATGTTCTGAGGAAAGACTGGAAAAGTAAAAGCCCACATATTTGAATTTCTTTCTTTCTCTCTTTCTTTTCTTTTTCCTTCCTTCCTTCCTTCCTTCCTTCCTTCCTTCCTTCCTTCCTTCCTTCCTTCCTTCCTTCCTTCCTTCCTTCCTTCCTTCCTTCCTTTCTTTCTTTCTTTCTTTCTTTCTTTCTTTCTTTCTTTCTTTCTTTCTTTCTTTCTTTCTTTCTTTCTTTCTTTCTTTCTTTCTTTCTTTCTTTCTTTCTTTCTTTCTTTCTTTCCTGTTGCCTAGGCTGGGGTGCAGTGGTGCAATCACATTTCACTGCAGCCTCAGGTTCAAGCAATCATCCCATCTCAGGCTCCCAAGTAGCTAGGACTACAGGTGGACACCAGCATGCCCAGCTAATTTTTGTATTTTTTGTAGAGATGAGGTTTTGCCATGTCGGCCAGGCAGGTCTTGAAATCCTGGGTTCAAGCAATCCTCCTGCCTCCACCTCCCAAAGTGCTGGGAGGCATGAGCCACAGTATCTGGGCTGTATTTGGATTTCATTTTTTTTTTGTTTTCCTCACTATGCAGCTTTGGAGAAGTTCTTAACCTCTCTGTGAAATAAATACACACCTATTATATCCTGGTTCTGGAATATAATACAGTCTGATTTTGCAATATGTGACCAGACAATCCAGAAAAGTTGCATATAAATTGAATTTATTGTAAACAGGATTCTGGTCCCCTCTCACCCTCCCACCCCCCATTACACCTATGGGCTTTTGGAAGTACTCAATATTGATTTTTGAGTAGTCTTTTACTGATAGAGCCTCATTACAGTAACTTCTTTCCTTTCTTCATATTCTCCAATTTCTCTGTAGTGGTAAATAGTGTAATCTTCTAGCTCCAGGGAGTTCTAGAGTTAAAAGAGCATGATGATGAGTCAGAAGTTGAATAGTTCACAATCATCTAATCATTTCCTGGCTTGTAAATCATAGATCTGGAGCAGAGGGTGTGAACATGGGCTTTGAGAACCTCTGGGGGAAAAGCTCCATAGCCTTCATCAAGTTACAAAAGGGATTCCATGACCTCCCAAAGTTAACAGAACCAGGCAAGATTTAAAAATAGAGACTTGCATTTTTTAAAAAAGAGACTGTTTTTTAGAGCGGTTTTAGGTTCACAGGAAAATTGAGGAGAAAGTACAGAGATGTCCTATACACTCCTTCCCCCCCACCCCGACATGCACAGTGTCCCCCATTATCAACACCTCTGGCCAGAGTGGTGCATTTTTACAATTGATGACTTTACATGGACTCATGGTTATCACCCAACGTTAACAGTTTACATTGGGGTTCACCCTTGGCATTATATATTCCATGGGTTTGGACAAATGTAAAATGACGTGTATCCACCATTTTATGATTATACAGAGTAGTTTCACTATTCTAAAAATTCCGTTTTCCTTTTTATCTCTCCCTTCCCCCAATCCCTAGCAACCACTGATCTTTTTACTGTCTCCATAGTTTTGCCTTTTGAGACTGGCATTTTTAAAAATACCATTTTAGGAAAAGTAAGTGTTTCATCTCAGTTTCTTTCCAACTAACTGAAGTTTTCCTGAAATTTAATTTTATGTTTGAAGGTAAAACACTCTAAATGTATTGAACACTTACACGTTTTCTTAGGCATCATTTAATACTTTATTGATGGCTAAGAAGAAGGATTGAGAATTTTCAGTCATAATATTGTTGATTTGGAATGGCTGAAGGATTCGACCTCTTTTTTTTTCCACTATAAGAAAATTGGAGTGGAGAAAGAAATGAGTTTACTCAAAGTTACACAGCTAATAAGTAGCAGATATTGTAGCTAAATGAAAACTTCCAAATTCCTGGTCCAGTTCTCTATTTATTATTACAGGCTGGTTTTCTTGGATGGATTTGGTGACTGAGACCAACGGAGATCTGAAAACAAGTTCTGGGAATTCATCTAAAGAGATAAGTGGGTCATCCCTATGTGTACTATTCTCCAAATAGCTGTCTAGTGACTTGCTTTCCGAGACAGAGGACTTCTAGGTCTTTAAAAGGGAGCACACTGATATAGCAAAAAACTACGAGACCTAGAGTCATGTAGATCTAGATTCAAAGCTGACTCTCTTACTGCTGGTTAAATGACTCAAAGCAAGTCACATAATCTGTTTGTGTCTTTGAGTTCTCATCTGTAAAAGAAAGATTACAATAATTATTTTATGAGTTAAGAGGAGGATTAGCTGATAGTTTTAGTATGTTAACTACATGACACATATTAAAATAGCCGCAATACCATCACAAATAATAATCACTATCATTTATTGAGTGCTTACAGTGTAGAACGTGCCAGAACTTTTCTCTTTCTTTCTTTCTTTCTTTTTTTTTTTTTTAATCTCCCTTCATCCTCCCCACCAGAGTACACAAACTGAGTAAATTTAGGTGAGAGTTGGTTTCTGAGATGTCCATCAGAAGAAATAAAATCTTCACAGTCAGTGGCAATTTGCTTTAAAGGAGGAAATTGGAAAGGTAAAACTACTCAGAAAATGAAGTCTCCTAGTAATATCAAACATTTAGCCTATAGACTTTGAGGACATTTTAAAAAATCCATTAATGTGGAAGTCTTTTTCATACGGTGTGGATCAGCGCAGAAAATTTGAATGTATTTGAGAACTACATGAGGTTTTTTTCCCCCAAAATTATGGAAATTTATAATATTTATAGCAAATTTTTTCTAATGGTAAGTGATAAATTCGCAAAAACTTCTAGAGGGGGTTAGGAATAGGCGAAAAGATTTCTTTATCGGAAATTATTTAGAAGAGAATACATGATAATGGAATCACACTGAGTTGCAAGTCACAAGGCAAAATATATTTCATTTCCAATAGTTTTTGATGAGGTATTTGGCAGAGTTGCAGAGTTTCATAATTACTCTATTTTAAACTTCAGCTAAAGATGCTCAATATAGCTTTTAGTTTTTATTGAAAGGTTAATTTTATGCTTACAGAACAATAAGCTTCCTATTATACTTATTCAGGTGTTAAATGTGAAAGTGACACCATCTTTGCCCAGGACTGTCTGATAGAGATGGCAATTTTACATGTAATCTATTTTATGTGGTCTTGTATCCATTGTGACACTTTTCTCTTAATACTAGTTATTTCATGTGAGCAAGTTTGGACTCTTTATATTCTGGATTTGCCATAATAAAACACATTTTTTTCATGAGTATGGTTTCTCTGTTTTTGGTATTATGAGACATGTTCATTGCCTGCTTAATAACACATTATTAGGCAGGACATGGTGGCTTATTCCTGTAATCCCAGCACTTTGGGAGGCTGAGGCAGGCAGATCACTTGAGGCCAGGAGTTCAAGACCAGCCTGACCAATATGGTGAGACTCTGTATCTATTAAAAAATAATAATAACAATTGAAAAATAACATTTTATTAGAGATTGATAGGGAACCTTGGTAAAAGGAGGATACAAACAGAGAAAGAAACCGTATTAGGCTGAAAGTGATGGGAACAGCAATGAAATGATTTCTTTATCTTAATTTTTTATTCTTGGTTATTAGCAACCAAAATGTCCTGTACATGTGTTGGTGAGCTAGCCATTGTATAGTGGTATTTCAGTAAATGGTAGTGATAAGGTGTTTGCCCTGGAGTTTACAGTTCAGGCAAAAATGACTGAGGGGTAAACTTGTGGTACTAGTTACCTACTACTATAAGTATGCTGTGTAATAAGACCAACAAAATACTAGTGTAATACAACAATAAACATTTATTTAGCCCATGAGTCTAAGAAGTGGCTGGCTTGTCTGTCTGGTCATGACTGGGCTTGCTCAAAATTGTGAGAGTTGGCTAGCTTTCAGCTGATCTATTCTGGCTTTGGCTGGGGTGACTGGGAAGGTTTGGTTCCTCTCTCGTCTTCCAGCAGGCTAGCCTGAGCTTGTTTTCAGGAAAAAGGAGGAATTGCAAAGAGGCCAGGCACAGTGGCTCACACCTGTAATCCCAGCATTTTGAGAGGCCAAGGCAGGTGAATCACCTGAGGTCAGGAGTTTGAGACCAGCCTGGCCAACATGGTGAAACCCTGTCTCTACCAAAAATACAAAACTTAGCTCGGTGTGGTGTTGGGCACCTGTAATCCCAGCTACTCAGGGGGCTGAGGCAGGAAAATCGCTTGAACTCAGAAGGTGGAGGTTACAGTGAGCCGAGATTGCGCCACTGCACTCCAACCTGGGGGACAGAGTGAGACTCTGTCAAAAAAACAAAAACAAAAGCAAAACCAAAATTAGCCAGGCATGGTGGTGGGCACCTGTAATCCCAGCTTCTTGAGAGGCTTACACAGGAGAATCACTTGAACCCAGGAAGCGGAGGTTGCAGTGAGCTGAGAGCCGAGATCATGCCACTGCCCTCCAGCCTGGGTAACAGAGCCAGACTCTATCTAAAAAAAAAGAAAAAAGAAAAAAGAAAAAAAGTGCACAAGAAAGGCAAGCCTGATCATGCAAGTACCTTTCAGGTTTCTGCTTACATCGGATTTGCTAATATCCCATTGGCGAAAACAAGTTGCAGGCTGGGCCCCAAGTCAGAATGGGAGGGGCACTATGAGGTTAAATGGCAAAAAGCATGAACATAGGAAGGATAAAGAATTTGGGTCTAGACTGGGTGCAGTGGTTCACGCCTGTAATCCCAGTACTTTGTGAGGCCAAGGTGCAAGGATTGCTTGAGCCCAGGAGTTTGAGACCAGTCTGGGCAACATAGTGGGACCTCATATGTATAAAATTTTTGTTTTTTAATTGCCTTGGTGTGGTGGCATGCACCTGTAGTCCCAATTACTCAGGAGGCTGAGGCAGGAGGACCACTTGAGCCAGGAGGCTGAGGTTGTAGTAAGCCATGGTTGCACTACTGCACTCCTGCTTGGGTGATGGAGTGAGACCCTGTCTCAAAATAATAATAATAATAATAATAATAACAATTTGAGTATATTTATTATGCAGCCAATAGATCATACCCATTTCTCTTCTAAGAGATTATTTGGGGGTATTGCACACTGGAATTACAGAACATGATTTTTAAAATATGGGCTGTAGAATCATCAAGTACCGATTTAAATCCTGATTCCACCACTATTAGCTCTGTGATGGTGAGCAAGTTACTTAATACCACTAGACCTAATTTACTTATCTATAAAATGAGGACAGTAATAGTAGATATATCATAAGCCTGTTGAGAAGATTCAATGGATAATTCAATTAAATAATAGCTATTTTTTACTTAGTATTTACTTATATACTAGGTACTATTCAAAGTGCTTTATACATTTTAACTCATTCAATCCTCACAACAACTTTGTATGGTATATATTATTCCTAGTTTGTAGATAAAGAATATGAGGCCTGGAGAGGTTGCAGAATCTTCCAATGAGTTGCACTAATAAATGACAGAGTTGAAACTTGAAGCCTAGGAAGTCTGGTTTGAGTCTGTGCTGTGAACCATTATCTGATGCTAATCTTAGCATAATGCCTAGTAGAAAATATTCATGCAGTGCATGTAAGCTAATCATTATTATTGTAAACTTACTGTTAACTGATGTTATTTGACTCAAGGCAAATGGTTTAAAGTGATAGAGGACTTTCTCTCAATTTGTCTTCCATTATGTAGAGTTGAAGGTCTTCAAACATATTTCGTTGTCCAAAAGAATAGAGGCTGATCCTTTGAGAAACTATGATACTATTTGGTAAACAAAGACATGTTACGTTTTTTAAAGCAATGTATCTGCATGATGAGAATGAGCCTTACAAAATGTTATTGGCAGCATTCTACAAAGTTGGAAGAGTGATTGCCATTGATGAAGACCACCCACCAAACTGTGTGACATACAAAATAGCCAATGGAGACACCCAGGTTATACAAAGATTCTGGATTCATCCTCTCTCTGGAATGATCGAACTTACCACACAGCCAGACTACGAGTCTGTGAAGCAATATAACCTCACCGTGGAAGCTGTGGACTGTGACAGATTTCACTCTCGTACAGCAATGACTATGGTAAGTAGAGAGACCCAGGTTTTGACATTATAGAGATGCTCTATTAAATTCTAATTTATTAAAATCAGACTGGTCAAACAGTTACAGCAGTGGAGAATGGTCATAACTTTCTCTTACTGCCTAACATTCTATAACTTGCATATGCTAAACTTTAAAAGTTTGAGGCTTGGTTGAAAATGAAGAACCTGCTAATGCCTCTCATTCTGATGAAAATAATAAACTTATAATAATGTCAAATAGTCATCTAGTACTTACCATGTGTTCAGTTCTAGACACATTATGTATATTGACATAGTACATCCTCACCTTAAACTTTTTAGGTAGGTAATAATATGCTATAATCATTTTCACCCTACAGGTGAGGAAACTGAGGCACAGAGTTTAGAAAACTTCTCTTAATTCCCTAATTATAAGATTTGTAGAACTGGACTTAAACACAGGCTGCCTCTTGTTGAGAGGTGATGTTTGTAATGAAGGTAGTTAACCAAGGTGCATTCTTTTGGCATCAAAGTGGGGGAAAGTATGGCCCTCTAAGTTATGTAAGCAATGTCAAAGGACTCTTGAAAGAAATCAAGAGTGAATGCTGCTGTACTGATGATGTGGTGCCTGTTATTAATGACAATAAGGTTTTGTCATTGGAGAAGAAACAGTAGGCTTAAATAATTACAAGGTCTCCATCTGGCCTAATGACTCACTGCACATTTCCTCCTACTGTACAGAGTCCCCTGGCTTGCCGCTTATATGGTTATTAGGTTTCCTGAGTGTGTCATTGTGATGAAAACATCAGACCATTCATATCATAGTTAGAATGACTTTCACAGGGACTGAGTTACAGTCATGAGGAAGGGATTACGTGGCTTGTTTGTCTCAGTGTGATACCCATGAAAGTGATCTTTAGACCTAGGTACCTGTGGCAGTATTTCCTGTAGACATTTAAGGACTCTCAAATAGTATAGTATGATACCACTTAGAATTATCATTTACTTACTACAAACGAGAAGAGGGGAAAGCAGATTTAATAATAATTCAACAACCCTCAAATCTTCAAGTGACTCTGTTTTGCCTAAAAACAAAGCAGGAGCTTGTTCATTCTTTCTTTCTTTAATGAATATTTATTGAATGTTTACTCTATGTACAACATCCTAGGTTACAAAGAAGTATAAGGTACCATATATGATCAGAAAGCTTCAAAATTTTAACATGTGAGAAGTTAACTAGTATATAGCAAGTGCCAAATTTTATTTATGTATATATGTATATATGTGTCAAATTATATATATATATATACACACACACACATGTTACTTTCAAATTCAGAAAAGGGAGATAGGGCTTTAAGCTCAAAAGTTTAGGAATCCATCATCATCATCGTCATCACTATCATCATCACCCACTCATTATTGAGAACCTAACAAAAGTCAAGTGCTATGAAATTCCCTTGATTATCTTATTTAGAATTCAATCTCATCTCATTGGGTAGTTACTGATACAACTTTTAACATATGAAATAATTTTATTTCCTAGGCTTCAAAGTTACGTAACTTATCCAAGATTACCCATCTGAAAGAAGGAGAAGGATTAAGCCTGAGCACTTAATCACTATCACATACCCTAGATTATTTCTCCAATCCTACAGCAATTTCTGTCATCTCTAATTTCAAAATGTACCCTAAGTCCTTCCACTTCTTACTTGTCTACTGCTAATACCCCAACTGTGCCTTCACCATACCTCACCTGGTCTAGTGTAGCAGCTTCTTGATTAGAACCGCCATTCCCACTTGTGCCCTTCACAACCTACTCTTCACACCACAGCCAGAGTGACCTTTTACAAAGATAAATCATCCTCTTCCTCAACATTTTCCATTGGCTTCCCATCATGCTTAGCTAAGCTCCAATGTCATTTCCAAAGTCTGCAGTGCCCTGTATGATCTAGGCCCTGGCTACCATTTTGTCTTTACCTCCTAGCTCTCTCCCTCTTACTCATTTCAATCCAGTCACATGAAACATTTGCTGTTTTTCCAACACACCAGCCACGTTTTACCTCAGAACCTCTGCCAAAGACTGTAATGCTTATCTTCCATTGGCTCACATGCTCACTTTAATCATATCTCTGCCCAAATGAAATTTGTTCATAAGGGCCTTTTACATTGTATGTAATGGTGGACATTTGAAGCAACCCATGTGTGTTCATTATTAGGGAAATGAGCAAGTAAATGTGGTAGATGCATACTATGGAATGCAAACTCCAGAAATAGCAAATAAGTTATACAGACAAAAACATAGATAGCACATATGTGGCCCTGGGTGAGAAAAGCAGGAAACACAAAAGGTCTATAGCACCATATCATTTATGCAAGTCAAAATTATACAACTAAAAGCTACATATTCTATGAGGATACACACATGCTTAAGGACATGTAACAAATATGGGAGAAAGGGAATAGGTGAGTGAGTCAAAGAAAGAATTCCGTCTTAAAATGCTTCCATCAGCTGTTCTCTATCTCCTTAACCTGAATAGCATCAGTTTACTCTATGATATTGCCTAATATATTTATTTGTCAATATAGTTATTGCTTTGCTTTCCTCATTAGAATAAATTATAATAGATCAGGGTCTTTGTTTTTGGTTTTCCACTGTAGCTTCTGTGGTGTCTAGATCAGTGCTTGGTACATAGTGAGTGTTCAATAAATATTCACTGAACGAATGAACTGATCCTTCTGACAGTCCTGAGAAGGTAGAGATTGAGATCTGCTTTTTGCAGATGAAGAAAGCAAAGGTAAGTCACTTGTGCCAAATAAAGGCACCAATAAGTGTCAGGCCCAGGATTTTAATAAAGATTTCTGATACCTTTCTGTGATATAATGGAAATAGCACTGGACTACTCCAGAAATCTCCTTAAAATCCATTTAATTATTATGTAAAAATGTCTCACATATTTAATGAGATGCATAGCTGTATTCAGTCTATAGAAGTAGTCCTAAAGAATGAATCATTCCTTAAGAATTTAGATGTGTTTTTAAAACATTACATAAAATATTTTTAAAAGCTAATACTTGCAAATATGAGCGCACCAGGGATTCTTCTGCAAGTATTGTTGAGAAAGTTATTAGTCATCTAAGAGTGGAGTAGATAACCTTTCTAGGCTGACTGGCATTCGATCACTGACATTTAAAAATTCTTGATATTTTGATCTTTTTCTATGTAAATCATAGTTTCCTGGTTTATGGTATTTTAATTAAGAAAAGGTTGATAACAGTCCCTAAATTAAAGTCAGAGCACATTTTGAAGGAATCATATTGTCACCAATAAAATATTGAGTTTGAGACAGTAGTACTGAGGAAGCTCTTTTGAGAAAGAGGAAGCAAATTTATCTATGTCATTAAGCATAGATATTTAAAGAGTTCAAGGGTTTATAATTTTTAGAGGTGTCATTCTTCAGCTTTCCTTTTCTCATCATTTACATAAATTGTGAACTTTCCGTAAGCTTGTCTAATGAGCCCAAAGTCCTCCCTAATGGCTACATTGAATGTCACAGCTAACCCAGGAATAATAAACCACTGATTGGTTGATTGACAGCCAGAATTCCAATCTGCAGGAACATTTTTTTTCAAATCCAAGTCTCTAGACTTTTTATTTAATAATTCCAAATGATCCGTCTCTACCCATATGCTTATTTCTGATATTGTGTATAAATAGTCACATGGTGTGGATTTGATGTTTCTTCTTCCCTCATGGCTGACAGGTCACTGTTGACATTGAAAACGAGAATGATGAAGCACCTGTCTGCACACCCTCTCTGTATAAGACAGTCATTTTTGACAATGTTGCTCTTGGGACAAACGTCAATGGCTTCGCCCTGAACTGCCACGACAGACATTCACAAGGTTTTGAAATGCGTTTTGAGATGGTTTCTGGTGCATAATTTTGCTATTTCTTTTAATCATGAGCGTATGTCAAATTGACATTAGTTTTGCCCTGTTAGACAGCATATATAACCTCAGAAATGATTATGTTTATAAGGGTTAAACTATTTAATATCTATAGCATTGTTTCCTCATGGCATCATTTTTACTTTCACATATCAAATCTAATTCTTCCTATAATGGAAGTATCAGTAATTTTACAGACACTTTGACAAAAGACTTTGGACCTGAATGGGAAATGCTGAAGGTTAAGTTGCAAGGAATGAAGTCTGCTGTCCAGGGTGCTGGATAACAACAGCCACCTTTCCATTCAATGCTATTCGTACAGATTCAATAGGATACATGTTTTCAAACTGTGTTATTTTTGGATTTGCACAGATCCGTATCAACTTAAGCTATCTTATTTTTTATGAAAGGCATATATTGGGACCAACTATGTATCAGGCACTGTGCTGGGAAATGGGTACACAGAAGTATACGAGACAGATATTCATGGCACTCATTGTTTATTAGACTAGTAGTAACACCAGCAATTATAAAATTACAAACTGTGATAAGTTCTATAAAGGAAAACTACTGGGTATCATGAGACAGCATAACATGGAGACCTATTTAAATTATGGAGGTCAGACCTGCTGTCATTTATCTGTAGGAGTAGAAGCTTGGAAATCAGTAAGCACATTGCCAGTTGATTTTAAAGACTAGTTTGATGTCTTATTCCCTTGCTGGGTGATAAGCTCCATGAAGGTCAGGACCATGTACATCAACATTGTCTCCAGGGCTATGGAGATAACTTAAAATTAGAAGGAGTTCAATAGATCTTCATGATCTGACAGGCCCATTTTATATTGAACTAGACTAAGTTGAAGATGGAAATCAAATTGATCTGAGTAGAAGGAAAGGAGAATCAATTAGACAAAGTAATTGGATAATAATTTGAAGCTTGCTGGCCATATATGGGATCAGATTCATGATCTTAATCTTTAAATTTTTTCCCTGACCAACTGAATTTGTTGCTCATTTGATCTCAATTTTTTTAAAGCCATGTATAGATATAAAAACTCACGGTGCAATGGAAATTTTTTTAAAAAAATTATGCCTATGATGTTTTAATAGCAATTTAAGGTAGTTTGAGAAAACCTTTCAATATACCTTAAAATAATTCTAACTTTCCAATTATCCCTTTTAAAGGAAACGAGAACCATCATTTTGGATTTGACCCAACTCGAGGTTCAAATACTCCAAAATTAATTGTGAAAAATCCTTTCAATTTTGAGTCTCAAGCTGAAGTGCAGAGGTGGTACCATCTTGTTGTGCATATAATTGATGACAACTTGAAATATGGCAAATCCACCAAGCCCAGAACGGGCACTGCTGTTATAGATATTTATGTGAGAAGAGCCAATATGCCACCTCCTCCAACCACTGATTCTGAAGTAAAGAGTTATAGAATTTTATTTGGGTCTCTGTGTGGGAAATGTTCTACTGTAAGTTCATGTTTCATCTAAAAAGGCTAAAGGGCTACTCAGGGCAGCACCTTCACCCATATGCTTTTCCACTTGGGCACTACACCATCCAGCACAGGACCACATTTTAGAGTGTACATCTATGAGTATAAATTGTGACATGAAACAGAATTTGTGAGAATTGCAGGTAGAGCATAGAGAACTCCTAAGAAACTAATCATGTTGTCTGAATGATCTGAAAGTCCTGCCCATCAGTGAATTCTATCAATTAAATCTAATCAATTAAATCACTCAGTGAATTCTATCAATTAAAAATCTAAAATTCTATCAATTAAAAATCTCTACAAATGGGTATTTTGAAAAGTTTATTCTCGTGGTCTGGCGCGATGGCTCATGCCTGTAATCCCAGCACTTTGGGAGGCCGAGGTGGGCGGATCACGAAGTCAGGAGATCGAGACCATCCTGGTTAACACGATGAAACCCCATCTCTACTAAAACTACAAAAAATTAGCCAGGTGTAGTGGCAAGCACCTGTAGTCCCAGCTACTCGGGAGGCTGAGGCATGAGAATTGCTTGAACTGGGGAGGTGGAGGTTGCATTGAGCCGAGATCGTGCCACTGCACTCCAGCCTCGGCGACAGAGTGAGACTCCATCTCAAAAAAAAAGGAAAAAAAAAAAAAGGTTTCTTCTCTGGTAGCCATGATATTCATAGTCACGAGCACATACCATGTGCCAGGCATTGCACTGCATGTATTATATTCATCATTTCATTTTATCTTCAATCCAAAGCTTACAAAGTTTAGCAGACTTGTTAGTATTGTATTATTTTAAAAATAGGTATGTAAAGCCTCTGCAGAATTCCAGAATGTCTCCTGAGTAATGCACAGATAAAGTCTGTTCAGTAAACTTTATGGTTAGTTTATTTTGTTGTTTTCTATCCTTTGAAATAGAAGCATTGAAAAAAACATGGATGGCAAATCCTCTCAACAGAATGCTTGATTTTCGAGAACACATTGTTCTCTTAAGCTGCACAAAAGCAGTTATTGTGTGTAGAGTAGATAATGGAGCATATAAGCTTAAAAGGACCTCAGATACCACCTAGTGAAAACTCTTGATTTTACAAATGAGAAAACTGAAGACAAAGAGGAGAAATGGTTTGTTCAAGATCACAGAGTGGTCATTGCATACAATTCAAGTTTTCACATCCTTAATTTGGGCCTTCTGTATGCAAGGGTGTTCCTCAGTTTTTTAAAACACCTGTAGTGTTTTAAAAAATATGCATATGTTAGACAATATCTTCCTGTCTGTAAAGGACTATGGCTCTGTACTGCTGCTACTAGGTGTAAACAGATGCTTTCTGAAAACACAACTAATGCTCTGTTTCCTTTGAAATGATATTTCTCAGCAAAGAAAAGGTCTGACTATCGTGTCCACAGCTATAAACACGTACAAATCCAATGACTGGTACATTCCTTTTATCTTCACTCTGATGGCTATTTTCTTTGCTGGGTTGATTTCCTGGGTATGTTTCCTGCTTTGGAAATATGGGAACATTATGGAATGCTGTCAGAAAACGACTAAGGAAGTCTCCAACGCCAAACCCAAGTATGTGATTTTTTTTTTTTCTAAGCTTTTGATATAAAGAGCTAAAACCAGTTGAGGTTTGGTAAACTTACTCTAAGGGCTTCTGTATGCTTTTGAAGGGCAGAGGAAAGTACTCGGTATATGAAACTTGATGGTTCCTTTTTACCAATGATCGCAAACCTACTCTATCCCAGAAACAGTTGGGGAGCTTTCTTTGAAAAACAGCAGCAACGTGTTATTGAGTTCTACCTTAGAACATATGAAACAGATTTTCTGTGAGATTATGTCTTTCTTTCTTTCTTTCTTTCTTTCTTTCTTTCTTTCTTTCTTTCTTTCTTTCTTTCTTTCTTTCTTTCTTTCTTTCTTTCTTTCTTTCAACAACAACAACAACACTTTGCGCAACAACAACAACAACAACAACAACAACAACAACAACGCTGCTGCTTTCTTTCTTCAGCAGAGTCTTGCTCTGTTGCCCAGGTTTCTTTCTTTCTTTCTTTCTTTCTTTCTTTCTTTCTTTCTTTCTTTTCTTTCTTTCTTTCTTTCAACAGAGTCTTGCTCTGTTGCCCAGGCTGGAGTGCAGTGGCACAATCTTGGCTCACTACAAGCTCCGCCTCCCCAGTTCTAGCAATTCTCCTGCCTCAGCCTCCCAAGTAGCTGGGATTACAGGTGCATGCCGCCAGCGCAGCTGATTTTATGTATTGTAGTAGGGATGGGGTTTCACCTTGTTGCCCAGGCTGGTCTTAAACTCCTGAGTTCGGGAAATCCACCTGCCTCGGCCTCCCAAAGTACTGGGATTACAGGCGTGAGCCACCGCACCTGGCCGAGATTATGTTTTAAACAAAAATTTGTGAGCCAACAAACAAACAATTTTTTTCATATTATTTTGATGCAAGTGGTTTCATAGGTGTTTGATTAGCACCAGAAACTAGTTGAGGGACTGGTGATAAATTAGGTACCCTCTCCACACATCTGACTGGTTTTAAGCTCTCTGGAGCATGTCTGGAGCAGGGCAGAGAGGCCAAATAAGTGGATAGAAAATGTAGCTACTTGCCGCACCATCTAAAAATATCTCTTCGGAGTGCAGAATATCATGACTTCAAAAATGAGTTCGACATGAATGTTTATTAACTAAATAGAATTTGTTTATGGTGCAGTGAAGGATGTGGTGGTGATGGTTAATGAAGACCATTTTATTCTTCCTTATACTGTATTTCTTTTTTCTTGGAGATGGGATAATCATGTACTGACTATTGAATGAAATTATTTTTGTCATCTGTTAACATAATAAAGCTGATATTTTGTCAAATTTTCTTTTCATACAGAGGAATTAAGTATATTGTAGGTAAGATACAGATTGTTAATTGTTACATGACTATGCTTGAATTGTGTGATTTTTAAAAAGCCACTCATCAGATACTTGACTTTTATTTATTTATTTTGTAGTAGGCGATGGAAATCAAAAGGAAATTATTGCCACAGGAAACAGAAATAAAAAATTAGAAGTGTTAACAGTAAGTACATTTTTGTGAACCTCTACAGTAAAAGAAAGAGAACATTTTTCCTTGTAATTGTTGTTCAATGAGAAGTTCTTTCATATAAACATATGGTAAACATATTCAATCATCATAGGAAGTAAAATAATTTCAATTTATCTCCTTTTGCTGAATTTGTGTGCATTACAAAACTGTAAATTCAGGTTAAGTTTTAAAATTTGGCTTAGATCAAAATCTGCCTCAAGTACTACACATGCATTCAAGAAAAAAAAAAAAACAACAACCTCTAGACAAAGGGAACCTTAGCATTATTCACCATTCTTAAAAATAAAAACTAGTCCAGGCATGGTGGCTCACACCTGTAATTCCAGCACTTTGGGAGGCTGAGAAGGGCAGATGACTTGAGGTCAGGAACTTGAGACCAGCCTGGGCAACATGGCAAAACCCCGTCTCTACTAAAAATACAAAAATTAGCGGGTATAGTGGTGCACGCCTGTAGTCCCAGCTATTGGGACAATGAGGCATGAGAATTGCTTGAGCCCGGGAGGTAGAGGTTGCAGTGAGTCAAGATCATGTCATTGCACTCCAGTCTGAGTGATAGAATGAGACTCCATCTAAAAAATAAATAAATAAAATAGAAATAAACATAAACACTGTATTTGTAAATAGTTTATACATGTGATTGATCTAAATAAGTTCTTCAACTCTGGAGTTTCTTAGCAGATGTTAAAAAATCTAAACCCTAGAGTATGCAAACCATCCTCAAATTGGCTGAGGCTCATTCACTAAATGATCCATATAAATGACTGTACAAGGATAAGGTTGGTTCCAGGAAAAGCCAATGTAGAATGGAACAAGGAGGGCATTTTTAGTCTTCATTTCCTTTCTTCTCTCTGCTTACCTCCTCTTAAACCAAGAACATTTCTAGCCGAATCCTAATTGACCACAATATTGTTTCATAAACTGGTTCTCTTTCAATGCTTCCTTCCTCTGCCTCTTCCTTTAGTAAACCAATGCCAGCTCATCTCCTGTATGAGTCTGCTTCATCTGCCATAACAAAATATGACAGCCTGGGTAGCTTAGACCACGTAAATTTATCTCTCACAGTGCTAGAGGCTGGAAGTCCAAGATCAAAGTGTCAGCAGATTTAGTTTCTTCTGAGGTCTCTCTCTTTGGCTTGCAGATGGCCACCTTCTCACTACGTCCTCACAGTCATCCCTCAGCCTGTGCTGTTTGTGTCCTAGTCTCCAATTCTTAGAAGGACATCAGTCATATTGGATTAAGGCTCACTCATGTGATCTCATTTAACTTAATCACTCTATCTCCAAATGCAGTCACACGCTGAGGTTAGGGTTAGGATTTCAACATATGAATTTTGGGGGGGACATAATTCAGCCCATAGCACCTCCCATACATGATAAGAGGGCATGACAGGCAGACTGATGTGGGGGATGGGATTAGGAGGAGATACAAACAGCGGGAATCTTTTGTCTTAAGGCTGTTAGCCCTCTATAAATTAGAAAGATGAGGTAACTTATAAGAAGTCATCTGCTCAAAGTCTTCAATGCTTGTAAAAACAAATCTTATCAAGCTGACTTTATTGCTAATACATTGTGCTTTTTAAAAGGAAACCACTGTATATGAGACTGTGTTTGATGGAGAAGTCATTGACCCAGGTATGGTGTTTAAATATCTTTTGAGTTAAGTGCATTTCACCTATTTAGATATTAAACTATGTGAATGAATTGCTTATTCTTTTATAAAATGAGACTGTGTCCTAAGGAATACTGTTTTAGCACCAGGCAGGTAAAATAAATGACTGTAAGGGGTCAGATAAAACAGTAAATTCAATCATCAATGGCAGCTAATGCTTGGGGGACGTGGCTGTCACTCAGCTCCATCAAATTACTGGGAAGAGGCCTTGTGTTGCCATAATTTTGGTACTTCAAAAGGAAGCTAGAAATCTAAATTGTTACATGAAATCTACCCACTTTTAAAAGTAGTCAAATAATTCAATTAAACTCTACTGTGTAGGCCAAATAAAACATATCTACCTCATTCCCTAGTTATATGTTGTGCAACAAACTTCCCCCAAGACTTACTAGCTTAGAATAACCACCATTTTATTATATCTCACATTTTAGTGTGTCAGGAATTTGAACAGGTTATCACCTGGACCTTTTTTTTTTTGCTTTATAAAGGGTCACTTCAATGGTATTCAGCTGGCAGTCTGTCTGGTCTTGCAGGTCCACAGTGGCTTCACTCACAAGCATGATAGCTTGGTGGGGACAGTTACAGTTTGACCCTGCTGGGTCCCACTTCTTCTTCATATAATCTCAGGGCCTGATAGGGTTTGGCTGTGTCCCCACTCAAATCTCACCTTGAATTGTAATAATCCCCACATGTCAAGGGCGGGGCCAGGTGGAAATAATTGAATCGTGGGGTCAGTTTCCCCCACGAAACTGGTAGTGAATAAATCTCATGAGATCCGATAGTTTTATAAATGGGAGTTCCCCTGCACAAGCTCTCTTGCCTGCCACCATGTAAGATGTGCCTTTGCTGCTCTTTTACTTTCTGCTATGATTGTGAGGCTTCCCCAGTCATGTGGAACTGTGAGTCCGTTAAACCTCTTTCATTTATAAATTGTGCAGTCTCAGGTGTGTCTTTATTAGCAGCATGAGAACAGACTAATACAGGGACTCTTCATGTAGTTGCTCCAGCAGGGATAGGTGAACCCCCTACATGGCAGTTTAGATCTCTTGGAGAAAGCCCAAGAGATAGGAGGGAAAGTTGTGATTTCTTGAGGATCAGGCCTAGAAATTGGCGTAGCATCACTTCTGCCTCATTAAAGCAGTCGGAGTCTATCCAGATTCAAAGAGAGGATCAGTACCCCACTTCTCAAGGTACGAGAGTCAAAGCATTTGTAGCCATCTTTAATCAACCACATATAGTCCAAATGGGTCATGGATTTGCAATCCCTGTTCTCAAGATTTATCTGTTATGATCCCTGGAATTGCCAAGCAGATCATACTTCCATTTTATAAAACATTTTGAAGGTTTTTTTTCCATGCATTTCTTTCCTAAAGAAAGAGGCAGAAATAGAAAGTCATCAGAGTTATTGGAAAAGCCCTGGTGTAGAGTTAGAAGACTAGGGTTTGAGTGTTGACACAACTACTAACACTCCATGTGAACATGGACAAAGCACTTAACCTCCCCGAGTCTCCCTTTCACCGGCTGCAAAGAAGGCACAACAGTGTGGGCTTTCTCTCTTTCATGGGGTGGTTATGAAGTTTAAACATGAATATAATAAAGTAAAAGTCATTTTGTAATCTGTCACTCAACATGAGGTATTAGCCATAGAAGACTCATTGGCATGATAACAGCTTGAGACAGTTTAATGCAAGTTAAATCCTGACACCTCTGGATAGCTTGGCATGAAATTATTGATGCTTTATTACTGACTGCCAAGCTCTCCTTAAAGCAAGTCATTCCTTTAAAAAGTGTTTTGTAAAATTAAAAACATGCTATTTACATCCTAATCTGATCTATATTAAATAACTTGGCCCTAATGAGTTCCAATTTCCAGGAATTCATTGAAAGCATACATGAACATTTATTGAGTGCTCACCTATGCTAAATATGACTTGTCCTACTGAAGTTCCAAACAATGAGAATTAACATTCTATTTTCATATTCTATCTTCCTGTGAAAGAAGTATCATTGTTGTCCCCATTTCATGGATATTAGAACAAGGCTTAGAGTCTAGAGTATGGAATAAATGTGTCTAGAGTAACATGGCTTTCTTTCCTTTCAAAGACAGGGAGGAAAAGAGTTAGTGGAAATGTTTAGAGCAGAGATTTAATCTTAATAGTGGTAGAATAGAGTCAGATAAGGAGTAGGTAGCTAGGTCCTTAGGTACAAGGGCAGTAAGGTGACTGTTGTGTGCCAGCTGTGGGTGGAGTGTCTTGTACCAGACTTCTTGGTGTAAGAATGGCAGAGCAGCCCACAATGGACCTCCATGCCCTTCTCTGGGTTCTTTCTCTACTTTCTTCTTATTATTGGAACTAATAAAAATTACTGTATGCCATTTCTTGTTTCCTTCTTTAAAAAAGTATATATATATATATAGGTTTTTTTATTATTATACTTTAAGGTCTGAGATACATATGCAGAATATGCAGGTTTGTTACATAGGTATACACGTGCCATGGTGGTTTGCTGCACCCATCAACCTGTCATCTACATTAGGTATTTCTCCTAATGCTATCCCTCCCCTAGTCCCCCACCTCCTGACAGGCCCTGGTGTGTGATGTTCCCCTCCCTGTGTACATATGTTCTCATGGTTCAACTCCCACTTATGAGTGAGAACATGTGGTGTTTGGTTTTCTGTTCCTGTGTTAGTTTGCTGAGAATGATAGTTTCTACCTTCATCCATGTCCTGCAAAGGACATGAACTCATCCATTTTTATGGCTGCATAGTATTCCATGGTGTATATGTGCCACATTTCCTTTATCCAGTCTATCATTGATGGGCATTTGGGTTGGCTCCAAGTCTTTGCTATTGTGAATAGTGCTACAATAAACATATGTGTTTATGTGTCACGTATGTGTGTATGTGTCTTTATAGTAGAACAGTTTATAATGCTTTGGGTATATACCCAGTAATGGGATTTTTGGGTCAAATGGTATTTCTGGTTCTAGATCCTGGAGGAATTGTCACACTGTCTTCCACAATGGTTGAACTAGTTTACACTCCCACCAACAGTGTAAAAGCATTCCTATTTCTCCACATCCTACTCAGCATCTGTTGTTTCCTGACTTTTTAATGATCGCCATTCTAACTGGCATGAGATGGCATCTCATTGTGGTTTTGATTTGCATTTCTCTAATGACCAGTGATGATCCGTAAAAAAGTATATTTTATAAATACTCATTTAGTACTTACAAAGTACAAGGCTTGTTCTAAGCAGTTCATAATTATTAAGTTATTTAAATCTTTATTGTGTTAAATATATACAACACAGAATTATCATTTTAATCATTTATAAATGTACAGTTCTGTGGCACTAAGTACATGCCCATTGCTGTGCAACCATCACCACTACCTCCAGAACGTTTTCATCTTCCCTAACTGAAACTCTATACTCATTAAACAATAGCTTTCTGATCTCCCCTCCCCATAGCCTCTGTTAACCACCATTCTACTTTCTGTCTCTATGAATTTGACTACTCTAAGTACTTCATGTAAGTAGACTCATACAATATTTTTTTGTGTGTGGCTGGCTTTTTTTTACTTAGTATAATGTCTTTCCTCAAGGTTCATCCACATTGCAGCATGTGTCAAAATATCCTGCCTGTTTAAGGTAGAATAAACATTCCCTTGTACCTACATACCACATTTTGTTTGTCCAGTCATCCATCAATGGATACTTGCATTGCTTCCACCTTTTGGCTAGTGTGAATAATGCTGCTATGTAATCTAGTTAATTTTAACATTATTATTCTTAGCAAACTGAAAATGTTTATATTTAACTATGCAGTTGCAGACTTATTGCAAGATGTTTTTAGGGTATTTCTAATATCAAATTACAGTAAACATTTACTGAATTCTGAGTGTGGTCAAAATGCTTTTACATGAATTGTACATTCTGACAACTACTTATGAGGTAGTGACTAGTATTATCCTCATTTTATAAATGAGAAAACTGTGGCCAAGAGAGATAAGGCAACTTCCCTACAACTATAGTTTAGTGAGAGGAAGGAGTCAGGATTAGAAACCAGGCAGTCTGACGCAGAAACCTTTATCCCTAACACTATTCATGACCTCTCCTATCATTGATTGGCCTGACAAAAACCAGTGGACCAACAAAGACTTGGCTTTAGGTACTTCCATTTTCAAGAGAAAAAAACAAGTGTACACGATCTAATAAGACAACAAGTGATTGCAGTCACTTTTTGTTGATTCAGTGTTTGACAGATACTCATCACCTTTGGTCTACTCAATAGGAGGACATGGTTACTGTATGTTTGGATGGATACATTTGGCTTATTTTGAACCTGGATGTTTGATGTGTACCTCAGCAATTGGTTTTCAGTTCCAACATGAACTGTTGAATGAGGGTATAGACTTTTTGGTGGTATAGATTTTTGTGTGTGTAAAGGAAGGGAAATGCATTGTCCACTTTAGTACAGTGGTCCTGGAAGAAGAATCACCTTTCAATTAATGTATCTTTGAGAGCAGACTCAACACTGTGAAGTTTCACATGACATTTAAAGAAGAGAAATACTTTAAAATAAAAATAGGTTTAGCTATACTTGTTGGAACGTACTATCGTTTATCAAATGTTCTGTGGAACCTAAAATATGATGCATAAGGTACTATTTTGTTCATGGAGCCCAACCTAAAGTGAGATAAGACGTGGCCCCCTACCCTAGGTTGTTAGTATTTAGAGTCTGCAGCTGGACTGCTGGGATTCAAATCTAGGTCTGCCACTTAGAGATGATGTGGTATTGGCAGATTACTTAACATATCTGTGCTCTAGCTCTCTTATTTCTAAAATGTGGCAAATAATATTTATTACCTAACAAGGACATTGAACAGATTAAATAAATTGATATGTGAAAACAGAGTCTGGCATATAGTAAATACTATAGGATCAGTTATTACTGTTATCATTGTTCTTTTTATTCATTAATTACACCTCAGTTACCTAAGAAATAATTGGTTGATTTCCTACTATATCAGGCCGTGTTTTTTTATCTTATTTCTTTTCTCTTGTATATTACTGTTACTACATTACTGTTTCTGTGAAGGGTTGGCTAATTAAACCTCAGACCCTATACATGGCAGATTAATTTCAATGAAAAAACCCATTTGACTTAAAAAAAACTTTTGCTTTTCAAACAATTACAAACTCACAAAAAATTACAAAAAAAATAATACAGAGAGGTACTGTGTACCCATCACCCAGCTTTCCCCACAGGTCACATCTTTCATTACTGTAGCGCATTGCCAAAATCAGGAAATTGACGTTGGTACAACACAACAAACTAGACCACAGACTTTACTAAGATTTCCCCAGTTATTGCGTATATTTATTTTTATATGTCTATGTGTATGACATTTAATCACCTTTATAGATCCAGATAACTACTACTACTGTCAAGATGCAAAACTGTTCCGATACCACAAAATAACTCCCTTGTGTTAAAGGGGCAATTTTTAATGCATGTGAAACCACATACTGCTTCAGGGTCTGCTTCTAGTTTTTCCTTTGGTAAAAGAACAAGACTTGAGAAGATAAACTCATCACTATGCCAGCTATCTAGCAAATGCTCAATAAAACATTTCATGGGAAAAATAAATGCTTTGCAAGTTCACTGTAATTCACTTTGTCTGTGTTTTGTTTTTTCCTTCCCACAGTCTCTGGGAATGTATATGAATATAACAGCAGAGCAGGTGCAAGAAAGTGGAAGAAGACCCCCAGGCACCAGAAGGAGCCCTTAGCAAACACACATTCCCCTCCAGAGGTCCATCCTTTAGAGGAGTCCACATCCTTAAACATTCCTTTGCAAGGATAGCATTTTTCCAGTGCCTGAATGATTGCTTTTTTGTGTATATGATTGTCACAGGCAGTTTTTCTTGGCTACCTAAAATTACAGACACGAGGCCAGCTGCTTTGTCTGTGTTTATAGCTTTCTGTGATCTTCCATTTCAGGATGTCTGTGTGAAGGCGGCAGGAGTGGTGAGCTTTGAATCTCTGAACATGTTTTGCTGAAAACGAGATACTAAATTGACATATGTTCATTGTCTTACTCTGCCCAGTACAGTGTATGCTTTTTAAGATCAGAGACTATTTTGCTTACTGCTTCAGCCCCAGTACATGCTTGGCACAGAGTGGGGACTCTTTATACATTTGTGAATAAATAAATTTGAATATATGAATTCAGATATCTTGCCTTTAATTCAAATTGCTTATTTCTCCATGACTCATGGAACAGAAATGGGAATTATCTTTAGAAAATAACTTTTTTGGGGTCTGGTAATCATAAAAAAAATCAGGATTTTTTTCAGCACTTTTCAAAAGCACAATTGATCTTGCTTTTAATTTTCTTTTTATAGCCCTATAGAGAATAATCACCTGAAAACTTTACTTATTAGTGAATTGCCAAGGAAATGTCAAAATCAAGTCTTACGAGAGCTATGTACTTAGACAATAAGTTTTAAATGGACTCTCTGATTATCTCCTGCCTTGGATATCGGAAGATATATGATAGAAGGAGGCCAGAAATGCTGTTGATGGTAGAGGCTAAATTTACATTTACTCCATGATGGAGTTCAGCTTGGAATAATTTTTTTTTTTTTTTTGAGACAGAGTCTCTCTCTGCCGTCCAGGCTGGAGTGCAGTGGCGCCATCTCAGCTCACTGCAAGCTCCGCCTCCCAGGTTCACGCCATTCTCCTGCCTCAGCCTCCCGAGTACCTGGGACTACAGGCACCCGCCACCACGCCCAGCTAACTTTTTGTACTTTTAGTAGAGTCGGAGTTTCTCTGTGTTAGCCAGGATGGTCTCGATCTCCTGACCTCGTGATACACCTGTCTCAGCCTTCCAAAGTGCTGGGATTACAGGCGTGAACCACCGCGCCCAGCCAACTTGGAATAATTTTTTAAAAATTAATCTTATCGAAAGTAAAATATATAATGAGCAACGAACTATTTGACTCAGAGGATATTGGGGGCTTGGATGATAAGAAATGTTTTATTTATCTTCCTTTGCATGTATACACACAGAGGATTCCTTTTCAGCTCAGAGACACACCTGGCCTCCTAATGAAAGAGAGCATCTGAAAGTAAACAGACTCATTTTTTCTTGATGTCTACCTCAAATGGGTCGATTCTCAGAAGGCATTATGGTGCAAAGGACATCGGTGAATTTGAAGTTTAAGGCTTGTGGCAAATCTCGTAGCCTCTCTAAACCTTGTTGTTTCTTCTTCCGGAAAATGTATACAATAATATCTGCCCCATTTCTATCCCATAGTTTTGTCATGGGAAACAACACAAAACAATTAAGGTTCCACCTTTGGCAGTGCTTTTTAAACTGTAAGCACTATTTTAAGCATAAAGTAGGATCAGTTTCATTAAATCAAAATTGGTTGCTGAGAGAGCAGTGGCTTGGGATGTGGGAACACAGAGGGGGTCACTCCATGGTTCTAGGCCAATCCAAGTTGGAATTGGTTGATAATTAGTTGCACAACGTCTGTGAAAGGAGTATACTTCTTTTTTCCAGATGGCATGATAATTCCCAACCAGGGGAGAGACCAAAGATTGTCTGGGAAAATGCTCTTCTCTCTCCAACAAGGCTCTCTCTGGATCAATTATGATTTGATGGATATACATGTGTGAGTCTCCACCTGCCACCACCTGGGCTTTTAAGAAAAAAAAAAAAGGAAAAAGCATTTATTCACTTTCTTTTCAAAATTGGATTGAATCAATTTGTATTTGATCTGCCTCTGCCCAAACCAAGAAAAATCGGTAAGTTAGTGTTTGTTTTCCCTTGTTTAGTTGTTTTGGGTCTCAGTTTCAGATGTATCTGGGAGAATGAATGCATGAACTGGAGATGACAGTCGTCATTGGAGAGAGAGCTACAAAGAGTGTCCACAGGGGCAGGACTGTGCAACCTGACCCCTCTTTGTGTCATAATCAATTTGACTCCAAACTCCAGATGCTCTTTCCTGTTGTACTGACCATCTTCAATTTAGTAATAATCATTGTATTAGCTTCCTGAGGCTACCATCACAAATTAGCACAAACTTAGTGTCTTAAAGCAACAGAAATGTGTTCTGTCACAGGTCTGCTGGCTAGAATTCCGGAATGAAGTTTTTGGGCAGGACCACATGACCTTTGAAGGCTCTAGGGGAAAATCTGTTCCTTGCCACTTTCAGCTCCTAGTGTCTGACCCTGATTCCTAGACCGTGGCTGCATCCCTCTAATCTCAGTCTCCCCCTTCACATCTCTTTTCCCTTTGTGTATCTATCAAGTTTCCCTCTTATAAGAATGCCTATCTTTGGATTTAGGGCCCACCTACAGAACCAGGATAATCCCTCCATCTCAAGATTCTTACGTTAATCACATCTGCAAAGACCCGTTTTCCAAATAAGATCATGTTCACTGGTTCTGGAAATTAGGAAATAAATACATCCTTTGGGTAGGGTCACAATTAAACTGTTACAGTTTAAAAATAATTTAATATTTGTAATAAATCAAGGCAATCTTTCTGATAGACAATATAACTCTTTTAGTTTTAATAAGTATTTATTGAGTGCCTACTAAGTACCAGAACATTTTCAAGGCTTTTAATCAATAAAAATGCAAATATCTTTGACTTGGCCATTTCACTGCTTGAAATTTCCCTGTAGAGGTTCTTACAAAAGATCTACAAAATGTATTTAGGTATTTGCTCTTGATAGCATTATTTGTAAGAGAAAAACAACTTGAATAAAATAAAAATATCCGTTAATAAGAAATTGGTTGAAAAATCATATCATATCAGTATTATGGAATGTACAATGTGGCTATTAGAAAGAATTAGGTTACATAAACAGAATATAAAGAAAAAATAATTAAGCATGTATTGATATGATAATATATTAAGTAATAAAGTTGGATAAACTACATAATTATTATTAATATAAATTAAAAAATAAAAATAAGTATAGGTATATGCATAAACTTTAGAGGGTTGTAAGAAATTCAGGAAACTATATTAATCATTATTAAATGATTCCTTTTTCCTAGAAAAGTCTAGGGGAGGAAAATGCAGAAGACAAAGTAAGATTTTTACTTTCTCATTCATAGTTTTATGTACCACTGAATTTTCTAACCTTATACAAATATTATTTCTATTCTTTAGTAAAATAAGTAGGGATTTTTTGGTGGTGATAATTTAGGGCATTATTTTCTTTTTAAATAAAGACACAATTTTTCAACATCATGATCAGACTATTACATTTGGCAGTCAACAGCATGGGTGCAAAAAAAATCTATATTAAACCCTTTATTGGAATGCTTTATACTTTCCACAGAGAAGAGACTAAAATAACCTGTTATATGTCTAAAACATGCCTTCTTTGTAGCAGCTAAGCCTTGCCACCACTGTGTATGGTTGAGTAGTATTCTATGGTGTATACCTATATATAGTTTATAATATATATTTATAAGATACATAATAATGTATAATTTATTTATTATATATAATTTATATTTATTAGTATATAATTTTCTTTATCCACTTGTTGATTGATGGGCATTTGGGCTGGTTCCATATGTTTGTAATTGCAAACTGTGGTGCTATAAACATATGTGTGCAAGTATCTTTTTTGTGTAATGACTTCTTTTCCTCTGAGTAGATACCCAGGAGTGGGATTGCTGGATCAAATGGTAGTTTTACTTTTAGTTCTTTAAGGAATCTCCATACTGTTTTCCATAGTGGTTGTACTAGTTTACATTCCCACCAACAGTGTAAAAGTGTTCCCTTTTCATCACAACTCCGCCAACGTCTATAATTTTTTGATTTTTTGATTATGGCTGTTCTTTCAGGAGTAAGGTGGTATCACATTGGGGTTTTGATTTGCATTTCTCTGATCATTAGTGATTTTGAGCATTTTTAAATATGTTTGTTGGCCATTTGTATATCTTCATTTGAAAATTTTCTATTCATGTCCTTAGCCTACTTTTTTTATGAGATTGTTTGTTTTATTCTTGCTAATTTGTTTGAGTTTCTTTTAGATTCTGGATATTAGTCTTTTGTTAGATGTATAGATTGCAAAGATTTTCTCCCACTCTGTGGGTTGTCTGTTTATTCTGCCAATTATTTCTGTTGCTGCACAGAAGCCTTTTAGTTTAATTAAGTCCCATCTATTTATCTTTGTTTTCATTGTATTTGCTTTTGCATTCTTGGTCACGAGGTCTTTGCCTAAGCCAGTGTTTGGAAGGGTTTTTCCAAGTTATCTTCTAGAATTTTTATGGCTTCAGGTCTTAGATTTAAGTCTTTGATTCATCTTGAGCTGATTTTTGTATAAGGTGAGAGATGAGAATCCAGTTTCATTCTTCTGCACATGGCTTGCCAATTATTCCTGCACTGTTTGTTGAATAGGGTGTCCTTTCTCCACTTTATGTTTTTGTTTGTATTGTTGAAGATCAGTTGACTTCAAGCATTTGGCTTTATTTTTGGGTTCTCTATTCTGATCCATTGGTCTATGTGCCTGTTCTTACACCAATACCATGCTCTTTTGGTGACTATAGCCTTATAGTATGGTTTGAAGTCAGGTAATGCAATGCCTCTAGGCTTGTTCTTTTTGCTTAGTCTTGCTTTGGTTATGTGGGTTCTTTTTTAGTTCAATATGAATTTTAGGAGGTTTCTTCTAGTTCTGTGAAGATTGATGGTGGGATTTGATGGGAATTGCATTGAATTTGAAGATTGCTTTTGGCAGTATGGCCATTTTCACAATATTGATTCTACCCATCTATGAGCATGGGATATGTTTCCATTTGTTTGTGTCATCTATGATTGTACTTTTCCTTGTAGAGCTCTTTCACCTCCTTGATTAAGTTTATTCCTAAATATTTTATTTTTCTTTTGCAGCTATTGTAAAAGGGGTTGACTTCTTGATTTGATTCTCAGTTTGGTTGCTGTTGGTGTATAGCAGGGCTACTGATTTGCTTATATTAATTTTATATTCTGAAAATTTGCTGAACTTATTTGCCAGTTCTAGGAGCATTTTGGAGGAGTCTTTAGAGTTTTCTAGGTATACGATCATGTCATCAACAAATAGTGACAGTCTGACTTCCTCTTTACTGATTTGGATGCCCCAAATCATGTTTTTGGTTCCAGAGAAGTGTACATGTCTGTGTGTGTGTGTCTATGTGTGGGGGGAAGATATGCACCAGTGCAT